TGATGACATGTACCAAATATGGGTGAACTCGGTTCACAACCACGCCTGAAATCTTGATTATCACTTTATCATGCGAGAGTATAAAATGTTCGGTGACACCCGAACTTAGCCCTTCCCTTCCTTACCTTACTGAATCTATGTCAAATTTATTGATAAAATCAGATTTTGTACTAAWCTTTGGCAYTTGTTKCCTAGATTTCAGTGTAGAGCRTATAAAACGATCASGAGATTGGGGGCCAATAACTTTAGAAGATGCCTCTGTCACCAGTTTGACGGTTCTCTCGACTGCCACGGTGTGAGAGGGGAAATTACTAAATTTCCATACCTCTGCACTGTCACCCGACAACCCTTTTATGAGTTCTTCGTTAGAAACTGAAGAAAGAACTGGTGGTACAGTCAAGGTTATAGTCTTCCAGTTAATCATATCGTAATATTTATTAGCTTTGAAATTCAGCTTTGGCAAAGAAAGCATTATGTTGAATGGATGAATCGACAAACTTGCGCTGTTTAGCAGGTAAGTCTCGACCTTTGAATGGCAGCATAGAGATGGCGCGAGCYATCTTTGATTGAACTGTTGAATCTTATTGAGAACCACAAAGGTGAGTAAACTGTAAGTATGTACTTGACCAAAATCTTTATTTCCATTGTTGGTTTGTCAGGAGAAATGTATAATCTCAGAATTCTATTTGCACAATTGAGCCAACGAGATTTGCACATGTTACCTGGATGCATCGACGCTAAATATGAGGAACATTGACCGGAAATAACAGCTTCTGATATTTTATAGAGATCAGYTTGGTCTGTGCTAAGTTGGGTCGGATTAATAACCTCAGAAGGTAATTGGCAGAAACTTTCAAATTGGACAACAGGCAACTTCTCACAATCAGGGAGCAGATTACCTACGTCACCAGAGAATGTATTTGGACTCTTTGAGACACCATCTATATGTTCAAAAAGAGTACGAAATGGAAGGTCGTTGAAATGTAGAAGACAAACAACTCACTGCAATGGCCTAAATAATCTTTCTTCTAGTTTCCGGATGATTCCACTCTTCCAACCAGTGTTCGTCATCGCCTGTGTGCCATCAGCACCGACAACTTCTAGATGTTCCACATCAACTGGATTGTCTTATAAATGTTGCCATATAGCTTGCGTCTCATCCTCAGCTGACCCGGGAGGAGAGGTGACGTGGATAAAGTAATCACAACCTGGTTCCGCTATAAGAGAAATATGTTCCTCTTTGACAGTTTCGCGGTAGTACTTTTCACCTTCGCTGACTTGTGTAAGTGTATTGTCTTTGCGGACGTCAAAATACAGCCCATATACAAAGTCAATACTTCCGGTGTTTTGGAGCTTAACTCCAACACWTTTTTTTTGCCCGAAAAATCTTGCATTTGCCAATGACAAAGCTAGCCTGATCCTCTGTTATCAAACCTGCTTTTTTGGCATTCAGAAAAGCAGATGAAACAATCAAGGCCGCTGCTCTATCACTTACTCCAAATCTTT